CGGTGCTCTAGTTAATCGTAGAATTTAATAAAGTAGAATTCTTCTCATTTCATATGAATATCGATTCAATTGGAATATTTGTTTTTTGTTGAGTTAATCGATTACGAAATGAGATCTTTTCTTTTAAAAAGGAAGAGAAAAAAAGTTTGTTCTAAAAACAAAGAAGAACGAAAGGTAAAATGTCATTTGAAAAAGAGAATTGATTGTTTAAACATGATACACACATAAATATTCAACAGTTTCTTTTTCTTTTCTCTTTTTCAAAAATCAATATGAAAATGTTTTCACATCTCATTTCGTTTTACTTTTAAACAAACATCTGATTGTGTGTTACGAACAACAGATCAATGGAACTTCAGTCTTATTCATCCGAATTTAAAACACCTTCAATTATTCTCAATATTGAAGATCATCGAAAACGAACAACAGTTCGACATGGGTAAATTCATTCTTTAACATTTTCTTTTCCATTATTTTCCTCATTTAGTCAAGGCAGATATTGGATTTGTCCAATAATCACTGCAGCACTTCTCATTGCTCTTGTCTTAACAGCTCTTATTATTCCAATAGTTGTAATGACTGTTCAAAGTTTGTTTCATCAGTTTCTCAAATCTTTTTTTTTTCTGATTGAAATCTCTCTTCTTTAGCAACAACAACAACAACAACGACCACGACCACAACTACTACGACAACTACAACAACCACATCGACGACTACAACGACAACGACTACAACTACCACTACCACTACGACTACAACAACGACTTCGACATCGACCACAACTTCTTAAAAATGAAGAAGAAGAAGAAATACATCTCTTCGTTCATTTTCGTTTTCTCATTTCAACAATGAATTTACAAGAAGAAAGATTTCAGTTCATTTGACTGTTCTTCTTGAACAATTTTGTACAAAATAAATCATTTTTTAATAAAAGTATTTTCCCATTATTTCTACTTTTTTTCATCTGTGAAGATTTCTGTAATAAAACATCGAGTAAAAATCGGTAAAAGTTTTTGTTTTTGTCTAATCGAATTCAATGGTTGAAAATGAAAACATTTTTCTTTTTCTTTTTTTGTTATTCTATTCATCATAGAGCGTAACTTTTCAAAGAAAAGACAATTTGTGTTAATTGAGAAAAACTAAACATTGAAAATCTCCCATGATGTGTCATAATTTTGTCATTACTTTGTTATAATGATAAAAACAAACAAATGTTTGAAGATGAAGAAAATGTAATCAATGACTACAAAAGAAAAACGCCCATGGAATCATGAAACACCTACGACGTCCTTCATATTTTTCTTTCTTCACTTTTCTTTGTCAAAAACAATGATCTGAACAACAAATTCCTATTTAAATTCCATTTTTATTCTCTTCATCGATTCACTTTCAAATCGAAACAAACGATCACATTCATTTCTTTTTTATTTCGTTTATCTTTTCACCAAAATATGTCTTTAACTCCCTATGTCAAACGGGAAATTACACCATACGTCAGACAAATACGAACATCACCGCTCAGTATACAAAACTTAGACACATCGTATACGAATCAACAATCTTCTCCACCTGTTATCGTGTTAAATATTGAAGATGCAAGAAAAATTCCATCGAGAGCAACGTAAGAACTTTCATTTATCTTTCGTTTCATTTTCATTTTCTTTCATCTTTTAGAGTTTCACCATGTTGTTTAAAATTACTCGTGGGTATTATTGCTGGTTTGCTTCTATTAGCAGCTATTCTTGTACCAGTTCTAGTAACAGTTCTCACAAGTATGTCACATATTCATTGAAAATTTACCAATATTATCTTCTCTTTTTATTTTCTAATAGCAACAACAACAACAACGACAACAACAACAACTACTACAACTACAACCACAACAACAACAACGACAACAACTACTACAACTACAACCACAACGACAACGACTACTACCTCAACAACGACTAGCACATCGACAACAACAACTACTGCTGTTCCAGGTTAAATAAATCTCATATGACATTAATTGTTCAATATTCGAAGATTAATTTATTTTATTGAAAATGTATGTATAGTCATTACATCTATGCCATTTTCTTTCGAATTCAAATGAAAATCTTCGTATGTTTATAATAATACTTTTCATTCGACAGTTGTTGAACATAGATTTGGAATCTCGTTGTTTTTCTTTTTGTTTCTTAAATAAAATTACCGATAAGGTTCTGATTATCTTAAATTGACATACTTTCTCAAATAACATTTTTTGAAAAATCGTTTTTTATGAGGCATTCGTGACATTTAACTAGAAAGAAATCAACATATTGTCCTTTAACTGCATTTGACGTATTGTTGAAACGAATCATTAAAAATTTTCTAAATAATAAACATTAAGTCATTTTAACCTTTCGATAATACAAAGAGATGCTTTCTATTTTCTATTAGATGAACAAAATAAATAAATAATACAAAATTGAATGTAATTCAGGCACAACTCATTGTTCTATGAATTCCACATTATTTATCTTCATTACTAAGAGTTTTTGTTCAAAATGAAATAAGTATCGTTAAGAAAATATAAACTATTTGATAATATTTATGAAAAAACCATTCTATTCTTTACAAGAATAGAATTGTAAATAATCATTGAAAAAAAACACCAGTTCTATTTTGTATATTTATTGTTATTTTCTTAATTATATTACAATAAGAAATCTATTTATGTAATACTTTTGTAGATTTGAAATTTTTACTGATCTTAATGATCTTGTGTAAATGTAAAGAAATCTAATATGATTTATATAAAATAAACGACACAACAATAGAAAAAAGTGAACAAAATAACGAAAGAAAAGGAGAAAATTGTATTTTCATGTAGCAGTAAATGGATCACAATCAAAAACAAATTAATAAAAAAATACAATAGTAGACAATAGTGGATCTTTTTTTTAGTTATAAAGAAACTTTCAATAATTATTTTTTATGAAATTTTACGTCTCTTCCATAATCTCCAGAACGGTCAAATTTACCAGAAAATCCCCAGTTATCCCAACCTCCTTCACTCTTATTGATAAATGTACCATATTCAAATACCCAAACACCAAATCTGCACCCTCCACAATCAAAAGAATCGTAAAATTTAACATTCTTAAAGTGTTGACTGTAGTCTTGACCCAAATTGAATACCATAATATTTGATCCTGGATATTTAAGCTTCATCCTATTTAAAGTATCTCGTACAAAGGCCTGACGGTCTGTTGTTGATTTTGCTGCTTCTTTGATTTCTCTGATGATTGCAACAGCATCAACATTTAGATTGACGTTAACACCGGCCATCGTTTCACTTTTATATAAAATAAAATCAAATAAAATTACACCTTCGAAAGATAAAAAGAACGAATTTTGAAAAAAATAATTTGTTGTCGAATAATGAAAGTAGACAGAACATGTTGAAATAAATGAAAAACAAAAGAATTAAGATCCTCAAAAGCGCATTATATCTAAACTATCAATATGATACTCAAGATTATTTGAATTACAACGATACAAAAAAACACGTTGTATAAAGATTTCTAAATATTATCAAATTTCTTTTTATGAGAAAGTTCATCATTTTCATAGAAAACATATCCTTACATATCTAATCAGAACAGAAATTATCATTCACAGGAAAAACGACGAAGTACAACATGATGTTAAAAAATAAGAACAGAATAACTGAAATCCTATATGCATCATATACACGTCAATCTTGAGGGTTAAATACTCTACTATGAGTAATATAAGACAAGAACAATAAAAGAAAAGAATAAGGTTTTTTGCCTGATGACACATACGACCAATCAAGATAAAACCTAATCAATCATTTTCTTTTATTTTCGAAAACCATTCGAATTAAATGACGTTTTCAACTTCCGATAAAATCATTTAATTTGTTAATCTAAATATTGAAAATAACTAAAAATCAAATCATAGATATTTCCAATCAAAGGATTTTTAATACAAATTCAAAAAGTTATTTCATTTCGAAAATAAATTTTCTAATCAATGTCAATCTGAAATATTCAATTCTTCTTCTTCTTATCAACTTTACACAACTGATACCTTTTTAATTCGTCAATCTTCATCAGATATTCTATTTGAGAAAAATATTGAAATATTTCCATCGCACATTTTCCAAATGTCAATTTTTGAAAAGCTCTAATCGAAAACAAACATTGATATAGAAATTATTTAAAACTTTTGATTTTATTTGATTAAACAAACAAAGCAGATTATTAATTAGTAAATAAATACAAAGGTGAATGTAATTCTGGTGCAATTTGTCCACCATGAATTCCACGCCATTTCTTTTGATCACTAAGAGTTCCTGTCCAAAAAGAGATGAAAAATGTTGATATAAATATTAACCATTTAATAACAATAATCAATAAATCAATTTTCAATTGATTTATATAACAAATAAAGATAAGACTTAATTCACTACAAAGTAATAATGGACATGTTGAAATTATTAATTTCAATAGAATTTGACAAAGTGATTTTGTTGTCATTACACAACATTGATCAAGAAGAACGATTAAAACGATTGTCCAAATTAAATGTGCCAAAACGCAAAAAAATGGAAGTAAATTTAAATCAAATAAATCATTATCATTATTAGATGAATTCAATTTCGAAGAATTTCCTAAAAGAAAAATAGTTTCTTCTTTCAAAGAATTTTCCTTCGAAAAATCAATCTTACGTTCGATGATCTTTGTTTGATTATCTGTCATTGAATCAAAATTTTTATAAAGAATATCCGTAAAAACAGTTATATGAAGAAAAAATGAAATAACTGTGAAGGATATGATGATAAATGCTAATAAACGTTCACGTTTACTTGCAAAATGATATTGAATGTCTTCTCTTTCCATCATTTCTTTTCTATGAATACGTTCATTCCACCCTTCATTATATATATTCTCATGCCAAATAAACAAAACAATTAGACGAGCGAGTACAAAGATTATATAGTCAGTCGTGATCGATCAGAAAATATATTCTTTTCTATTGAATATTTATCCAATTAGAATATCTCAATGTTTTCAATATCGTTTTGTTAAGTTGAAACATTGTTGAATATTTGTGATTAAAGATGTGATTGGTTTGAGCAAAATGAACAACTTCTGCAAACTTGGTGTGATCAGATGGGCAGATCAATTCGAAAACTTCTCCAAACTATTTGTAAGAAATTGATAAATGATTCTCATAAACAACGAAGAGAACTTCATATCAAACAAGAAATGTTTTCTTTTCGATTATATTCAAAATAAATTAGAAATGATCTTGACAAGAACATTGTCCATTTGGATGAAAATGATGAATACGATTTGCATCTCGTATAACAATTTCACATTGACGAATTTTTGCGATCATTTTTGTAGCACGATCTACATAAAAAGACGAAAAGTTCTTCTAAACTATTCTCAAATGAATGACTTCTTACGACAATCTCCGCAAACACGAAGATTGTTTGTAATTTGAATAAATGATGGTTTCGATTGTTCAATGAAATTAAAAGCAATGGCAAGTTTTTCGCTATGACCACATAATACAGATTCAACACTTTCTCCATCTTTAATTGGTCGAGTTATCCAACTCGGATCAAATTGAAAATCATGTTCTTTTAATTCATTCGATAAACGATCAAGTTCAGCATAAATTTCATTTGTTCGAGGATGTGAACGATCATGTGCTTTGAAACACTTCAACAAATAAAATAACTTTGTTTTTCTCAGTTCTTCAAATAAAAATAAACTGTTCTGTTACCACAATTTTATCATTGACTTCTGTCCAAGACAATCCAATTGTGACATTATTTCCAAATTGTTTGATTCGATTTGGTCGTTGTTGTCGAGCTGATTGATAATCACCCACCGAAGAATAAGTGTTTGAGAGAAGAATTGAGGCAGATATTAAATTTGTTTTCTTCTCGGCAAATAAATTTTTCATTTTCGCAAACAATTTCTCTGAAAGATTAACTTGATGGAAATTTCGAGCAGCGGATAACATAGCCACTTGAAAAAAAGAGCTATTTTATTAATATTTTTCATTACAGAAAAGCAAAACATACTGTACATTGTCGAAGAAGGAGCATTGGATTGTTCAAATTCATCGATTAAATTTTGTGCTTCATGAAATAATCGCATTCGACTAAGACAATCCACCTAAATATCTCATTTGAAATCTTCTGTTGTTTTAATATCCAATAAACAAACCATTGAAGTGACAATGACATCGTTTTTTCTTGGAATATTCTTGAAAATCTTTCGAGCTTGATCAACTAGTCCCGAATGTGAACATGCATTCAAAATACACACATATGATATGAAATCATGCATATCCTCAGGTATTTGTTCATAGATATGAATTGCTTCATATCCCATTCCATTTCGTGCATATGCATTAACTAAATATCAACAAATGATTGACAAATGAAAAAGAAATTCTTCTCTTGTTACTCATCGCAGTGTAAGTGATCAAATTAGGTTGAGATATAGATTGAAATATTTTTTCAGCTTGTTGAATATCACTTGATTTACCCTGAAAAGAACGAAAATAAGAAAGAACTGTGAACATTCCTTACCAACATATCGATCAAAGCATTTTGTAATTGAAAATTCTTTTGTAAATGTGAAATTTGTGAAAGAAATTTTCTCGAAGTTGAACGCATTCCAATCTGTGCACATGCACCAACCAATGCTAATGCCATATGTATATCAATTGGAATCTTTTTCTTCTTTGCTTCTTCAAAAATGGCTAAACATTCAAATGGTTGATCGTTCATTTTATAACCATTCATCATTATTCCATAAATTGATGAATCGACCTTTTTCATTTGTTTGAATAAATATTCAGCACGTTCAACATTATGAAATTTCATAAACATATCAATGATTGTGCAAAATAAGTTTTGATTTTCAAGAAAAGATTTTGGTAATTTCTCAAAAGCATCATTTCCAATTTGAATTGCATGATCATCACAAATTTTGGCACAAGCATTGAAGAGGATGGTCATAATCACTGCATCGACTTTAATCGATATTTTTTTGTATAATTCAAAGACTTTTTCAGGCATATTGTTTGAAAGATAACCTAAAGATCAATTCAATTCAAATTCAAAGAGAAAATGTTCGAAGATGGATTTACCTTTGAGCATTGCACCATATACAAAAAGATTTTCTTTTTCAACAGTTGAGAAGATTTGTTCAGCATCTTTTACTCGATGGGATTGCACTGGAAAGAATTAGAAAGAACAATTAGAAATTCTCATATAGATATTCAGAATTTACTGTAAAAATGAATTAACGCAGTTTGAATATGTAGATTTTTCAACGATTTCAATGGAAGTTGCTGATGAATATTGATACCACGTTGATGATCAGATAATTTAGTAGATGCTTTTAAAGCTAAAACAAATGTTGCATCAGTATGTATTGAAAGTTTTTTCTCAAATAAATCCAGAGCTTCTTTATATTGGTGATTTGCAATCAAATTCTTCATTGTTGAATTTAATTTTATCGATGATGGAGATATCTGAGAAACATATCGATAATTTTTCTGTTCAATATTCAGCAAATGTCGAATAAGATATGAACGGAGGTAATTCAACATTATCTTAAAGAAAGACAAACGAAATTTTGTCCTTTAAGATTTGCAATGATGAATATTGAACGAATAATCTAATGATAATCGAATTCATCTGCTTTTTCAAACTACTTATGGGTATAGTTATTCTGGTTATTACTCGATTATTCTATTCGTATAAATGGTGTATTGTCAGCCGAACAAAAAGTCGTTTCTTTCGTGCAATTAATATCAGATGCAGTTCTCACTAGTGACACCTATATCTATGTAACTCGAAAAAGAAATTCCTAAAAATTGTTTCACAGAAAGGTTTATCTTGTTCTTTTATCAGTTTCTGCTGCCAGTTTTTGGTGAGAATACAGCTATTTAATAAGTAGCGCATCATGAAGGAGGTTATTACTAGAGAAACTAGAACGATGATGTGTGAATTAAAAATCATATTAGAATGCTTCTTATGAACACCCAGTCTTTCAAACATGTTTTTTCATTTATTTTCATTAAAAATATTGTAAAATAGAATAATACAAATAGTAATTATTACTACTCGCAAACGATATTGTTAAAATTTCAAGAATTTATTTATTGAGATTTTTACAAAATACACATAAAATAGAAAAATAAAATAAACATATGCTATGAATGATATAATAAAAGATAATTCTAGTAAATATAACAATAAAGAAAATCTATAATGTAATGTGTGAGAAGAAGTCAAGTGCATGTGGTGGAGACGTTAAGTGTTCTTTTTACGTGTAATAATCTAAAAATACGGCAATATAGTGGAATCGAATTTGAATAGCTTTTTAGAATCAATTTTACCTGATTCGACGTACTTGTACAGACATAATAGCTACAGGAAATTTGATTTTCGTTTCATCGTTTTTTAAAATATTTTTATTTCTTTCGAGTTCTAAAGTAAAGATCAGATACAGAATTTGCAATTTTCTTTATGAGCACGAATGAAATACTGATTTACCATTGATATGATAGTTAATTTCATGAACTTCCGCATAAGCCATTTGGTCAGATTTTATTTTGAACTTGTATTGTGGTAAAGTTTCTTTTCTTAATATTTTTCGTGGCCGAGGACATGATTCACATGTAAATGACATTATTAAGTTAAATTTGTTTTTGAAAAGTTATATCAAGTGAATCGTACAAAACACCATGCGCATTTATTTTATTAAGAAGAGTCTGAGATATAAGAGACATCCAATTAAGTCAATAAAAACGATGGCGCGCACGACATATGCGTTCTCATTGCACATGATAAACCACCAGTGTGGCGAATATTATAGATGGCTGTACAAGCTAAATGTTTTTTCTCTCGTATTTACATTTCTAAAAGTAATCTCTCGTTAAGAATTATACCATTCGTTTCTGCATTAAACGGAGAATTTTTCTACGTTTAAAGTTCATGAAAATAGTCTTTCGAGGCAAAGTGCATAGCCAGGACTAAAGTCAGTCTGCGGTCGAGATAAGTTACATTCACACGCTTCATACAAAACAGTATGTAGCTTATCCTTGCGTTTTAAACCAATCAGAATTCATTCCATACTATACCTTTTTCTGTTCTGCTGTTCACGTCGGACCAAACTGACAGACAAATATGAATTTGTATTCAGAGAAAAATAATTAATGCGTTTATTTTCAT